TCATCGAGGGAATGGTTTCGGAGCTGGTTCGCCCGCTTCGAGGAGGTGTCGTTGGCGGCGGCAGTTGCGGTGGTGCCGTGGCGGTGTTGGGAGCTGAGAGAATGGGCTTTCCGGTTGGCGGGACCGCCATTGTTTGGGAGAGATAATAACACGTCGCGGTCTTCGTCGTCCATTAATGGCGGGAAGTTGTTGACTTTTGCTAGCTGGTTGATGGTTGATTAACTTGATCACAGAAAAAATTTAAAAAGAATTAAGTATTAGAAGTAAAAATAAAAATAAAAATAACAACAATAATAATAATAATAATAATAATTAATAAAAGGATGAATTTGTGGAAATGGAAGAAGGTGGGAGAATTAGGAAGAGAGAGGGTGGAAATGAGGAAGAATGGTTAGAGAGAGAGGAGAGGAAGAGGAAGGTTTGAAAGGAGTGGAATAGCGGGAAAAAAGGGGGTGTAAATGGACTACATTGTTTTTAGTTATTGTTCGTTGTATGTCATGTAAGATTAGAGAGAGAGACACAATTTTTTTATGAGATAAGAATGTTTTTACTTTTTTAATTTTATTATTATCCCTTTAATTAACTTCAATAATTTTTGTTGATTTTGGAAATGTCCCTAGTCACCTTAAATCGTGCTGATTATAACAGTATAACAAACGCATTTTACGATGCTGAAAATGTGAACCGAGTGTAGGCTTGTGAGTAGCTTGAACAAAACATTAGATAGCTTTAATAGAATTCAATTAATAAATATTTTTAAAACATGACGAACAACAAGTTGAATTGACCTGAAGCAAAATACTCCCTAATTGCATCATATCTTAGTTATACGTACGAAATAAATTTTTATAAGATTTGGGATGGCTATTTGTGGGCATAAATCTAATTATTGCATATTAGCTTTTGCATTTCTATTTTCTAATGTCACAAATTTTTAGTACTTTGTATTTGAAGTTGCAACTATAACTTAAAGCCTCTAAAATTACATCTTAATTAGTGGAGTAAACATAGCATTATTGAGAATAATTTTTCATTGTTCTCAAATACTAAAGTAAAGACAACAGAATTTCTGTAATACTCAACTAATTATGAATATGATGAAATCCATATAAAACTAATCTCCTAAAATGGTGTGTTTTAGTTACAAAAACAGGATCCTACAAAATTAAAACAGCCAAGTCAATGAAGGTTTTTATAGTGAAGAAAGTTGGCATGTTCTGAACATACCAACCAGACTATCATAATAAAATTGAAGTATATAAAAAAAAAAAAATGTTTGACTTGTGTAAAAATGTAGGAAGTGTTGGATTTGTGGGCGGCCATAAACTTGTTGTTGATCTTCTTAATGCCAACTTACATAATCTCTGATGGGTCCACGACTTGTGTATAACTTTGAATATGAGCAACCAATTTCGTATGTTTGTAGTTTACCAATTGGATTCAATTGACACCACTTTTCGACCCCTGCCGTCCTAATGTCTCATTATGTCCCTTATTTTCAATCTACGAGAATTTCTTGTTAGTCCAAGTTTGATTTGGATAGAGTTCTATCGAAAAATTAGTTAAGTAAAACCATTATTATACTAAGGAGTATTATTTTTCTATGATTGGATTTATTGTTAGTGCATCACCACTCAGAATATGATAAAATCAATGCATCTATTATAAACAAAAGGGTATATATGTAAATTGTAAAACCATGTCATTACATTGATAAAGGGTTGGTGGTTTGCTGATAATGTGAATAGAGCTGTCAAAAGTTGACCCTACTCAAAATACCGACCCGAACCCGATTATTAATCGACCCGTTTAAACCCGGAAAAATGATGACCCGAACCTGATATGACCCGACCTGAAACCAACCTTAGACCCGAGTTAACCCGAGTATTTGAGACCCGAACCCAAACATGAACCGACCTGGAGATGACCCGACCCAAATATAACCCGTTTAAACCCATCAAAACCCGAATTTAACCCGACCTGAATTCAACCACCTATTCCTAACCCGACCTGAATTTAACCCGACCTATTACTAACCCGACCCGAATTTAACCCGACCTATTACTAACCAGACCAGAAATTCAACCCGATCTATCACTAACCCAACCCGAAATCAACACGACATGTTATTGACCCGAAATTAACTAGCAATCTAGGATTACGTCATATCTCTCTCTTCCCCCCCCCCCCCCCTAATTCTATGAGTTATTTTCCTATTTAAGCTTATTCAAATATTTTCAATAAAATTCTCTATTATCAAATGTATTACAATTTATATGTCTCAAAAAAACCTATAAAATTTATGAATACCATTTCTTTTTGGATGCATGTATATTCTTTACTTAAATTTAGTAATTACGATTTACGAATACTACTACTTTTTAGGTGCAAGTTCATTCTATATTTCAATTAAGCAATTATGGTTTACGGATAATACTACTTTGTAGGTGCATGTGCATTAATGTAGTCAATTACGGTTTACAAATACTATTTGACCTTAGCTTGTTTGTTTTATCTTATATTTTATAAAAAAAAAATTCAAATATTTCGGATAATGATTGAATTGAACGTGATAATGATTGAATGTGAGCATGAGTATATGACAATGACCCGTTGATAATCTGAACCAAATAATTTACCTGTACCCGATCATGACTTGACTTGTCTGGACTCGAGAAAGTGGTGACCCGAACTAGAGCCGTTAAAAGGCTTTTATTGGTCTTTTATTTTTCTAATTTTATTATTCATTTGCCTATTTAATCTTATTTAAATGTTTTGAACAATGCCATTTAAATGTTTTAAAAAAAATGACATTAAAAAAAACGTGAACTCGGATGATTTTTAAAAAATAAACAAGTTTAGATAATTTCAAATAAAATAAGTTTAGAAAAGAAAATTATTGTATTTTAACTTATTTAAACTAAACCTATTTTATCCGAATTTATATGAACTAATTGTATTTTATCTAAACATGTCATCTCGAATATGAACTTATCTGAAATTGTTATCTCTAAAATGAGTGGAATCAATGTGAATAGATTAGAATAGGGTTTGAATTTATCTTCTAAAAATCTAAACTAAACCTATCTTATTGGAATTAATATGAACTTATTATGTAGATCTTATCTAAACTTATTAAAACTTATTACCTCGAATATAAACTTATCTGAAATTATTTCTCTTACAATAAATCAAGTGATTGATAATGAAACGTGAATGTCATTACATGAACCGTTAACAAACCGACCCAAAAAATGTACCCGAACCTGATATGACCCGATCTGAAAACAACTCGATACCCAGATTAACCCAATATCTGAGACTCGAACCCGAACATGACCTGACTTGGAAATGATCCGACCTGATTATAACCTGCAATTTTTTTACTTGAACCAAACCCGACTTGAACCCGAACATGACCCGACTTGTAAATGACCCGACCTGATTGTAACCCTTAAATAATTGACTTGAACCGAACCCGACTTGAACCCGAGAATGACCCGACTTGGATATAACCCGACCTGATTATAACCCGCAAATTATTGACCTGAACCGAACCCGACCTGATTATAACCCGCAAATTATTGACTTGAACCGAAGCCGACTCGAACCCGAGAATGACCTTAACCCGTTTTAACCCGTGAAAACCCGAATTAAACCCGACCTATTATTCACCCGACCCGAATGTAACCCGACCTGTTATTAACCCGATCCAAACCCGATAAGATATATGACCCGACTTTACCCAACTCAAGCATGACCCAACCCGAACCCGACCCGTATAGGTTACGACATTAACCCGAAATGACCTGACCCGAGTTGACCCGACCGACACTCACCCGACCCAAACCCGACCTGTTGACCCGAATTGACAGCTCTAAATGTGATAACTAATGTGGACAATATTAAAGTATTGAGGGGTGAAACTTAAAAACATAAAATCGAATTTCATATATATTATTTGCCTTTGCTTCTCTCTACATTAGAAAATAAAATGTGACAACTAATTACATAGAGGGGTGTTTAAGAGAAACTTGAATGTAATAATCTCTGTATGGAGTCTACCGTTTCGTAGGAAATAATATTCCTTACATTCAATTCAGCTACACTCATTGTACTGGGTTTAGTGGTCGTTGGACTACAATCATTGTAATTGAGATGTTGCAGTGATCACATCAAAGTGAAACTTCTGAACCTACACTATTGAATTATGGATATAAGGACGTATGATTATTTGATTAATCGAGGAATATCGGTGGAGTACATGAGGGAGGTGTATAATATTGAGCAATTATAATGATGCACAATTGCACACCTATGTCCCTCATGCAGCTAGGAACACCGGTAGAGTCAGAGAGATCTAAATGTAGCATGTATCGCAGCGTCAGTCAGATTCGTCCTTAATGTTCATTTTTAGGGTGTATCTTAGAATTTATATTCCTTAAGAAGGTTCATCTTGAAACTATGTGAACAAGATGACCATAATTAGTTAAAATGCAACTGGTGCTGCTGGTATTGACCTAATAGGTTCACAGCACAACGGTATCAGCACGCCGTATGGGCCAAGGAGTGATGGTACGTTAGACACAGTAGTTAAGTTGCTAGGTACTAAAGGGGGATAAAAGAAGGAAGGACAATGTCTGATTGGACAGTACTAATACTATAACTCTTGAAACAACATAAATTTAGGACCACCAAAGACAGAATTGGCTTCTACAATTGTACTACATAGTACACAAAGAGCACAAGTTGCAAGAATAATTATGGCTCGTTTGGTACACTTATTAAGTAAAGAGATTGATAGGGGAAAATCCAAGTTGGTCTCTAAAATAAATCTGTAAATATATCTCATTTCACAATATATTGTTTTTCTTTTATTGTTTAAATAATAAAAGTAAAATAATAAAGTGGCACAGAAATTAATGCATAAAGTTGTAAGAGGAAATAAAATGAAATGTTAATTTCAGAGCTGGGCTCTCTCGAGATAGTGTGGGGAGAATTTATGCAGTAGTAGCTACAAAACCCCAGTGTGACAATGTTGAAAGGGAAATGAAAGAGGGTGGGACTTGGGAATGGGGGCAAACACTTCCGAATCCTACATACTTGTACAAAGTATTTATCTATTTTTGGCCGTTTTCCTTTGTTCAAAGAAACCCTCTGCATCACTTGTTCAATGATAGAGAAAAAATGGTGACTTTTATTAATATACCTGAGGTATACAGTATTACAGTTTTTAACTGACCTTTAAAGCGTTCTGAAACACAAGGTTGTACTAAATATTCCTATTTTTCTTCTGAAACATAAATGACCCATTGTTAAATTTCAATTGTGTAAATATATGGCCAATATTCTCCAGATAATGCGGTGGATTAGCTTCTCTATGTATGGAGTGCTTTCAGGCTTGAAATTTGGTTAGACATGTACATGAAAGCAATTCCTCAGACCTTTATAAACATCCAAAAAAAAAAATTCCCTAGGAAGGATAGAGCAGCAGGGTCACCTTTGTATACATTGCAAAGTCTTCGAGCATTTTCAAAGCAACGATGTTGTCTTTGTCCTTCGCCACCTCCCAAGCTTCTCTCTTCCCTACAAGAAAACAAAAGCATTTAGCTTAGTCTTAGAAGATCTAGCAGATCAATACCCCCACATATGGGAAAAGAAAAAAAAAATGACCATATAGATTACAGACCTTTGGTCTTTAAACTTGTCGATCTATAACTGCTGTTGTAACATGCAAACACTATAGATATAACAAAGATACTGATTATTTCTTAAGATTGGTCTAGAAAAGTTATTTTAGACCATCAACTCAATACAATTTTTGGGAATTATGGTCAAAGTTTGTGAGCTTTGACCAACAGTCATAGGTGTGGCCTATTACTTGCTAACTATGACAGAGGTACCACCAAATACTTGTATAATTGCATTCAATAAGACAGAACAGAGTGAAGTTCAGAGCAACTTCAACATGCATATGAACATCCATACATTAAATTATTGAACCTAAAGTGAAGCAAACATTTCATCAAAAGTTAGCACATTAACCCTGGAAATGCCAACTTTAGCTAGTACCTTACGACGGTCCACTGCTAGCTCATTTTCGACAATAGATATGGCTTGGAATCCTAGGGGATGCAAAACCTCTTCATAGCTGCATGGAAGAAATAGATCAGCTAATCCACATAGCTCAAGATGACATCTAATAACAAGATCAATAAGTCAGCAAGGTACAAGAGAAATAATTCAAAACCAAAAGTTGAATGAGTGAAAGGGAAAGGAATTACTCGGCGACAGATGTTTTATACGGAGGTCCACCTTCATGGTCATCAATCTGCCAAAATTTAAACAAGTTATGAAGTCATTTTCCAGAAACTGGCCCTTGTAAGATAAGCATTAGAAAGAGCTAGCAACAGCAAAAATATCTGGTCTTCTTCAATAATATAATTCATTTCACTCAAAGGATCTAATGTGGACAACTTCATTGCAGTTTCTAGGGTAAAGATGATGGATGTGATTTCCTTAGTTTTATCCATTTGAATTTTTTTACATACAAAGTATGTTATATAATCAAATTAATAACTGATGCATTTGTCAAGTAATTAATACTAGACGAACATAACCAGAATTTGTGAAACAAAGCATAATAGATGTTAAGAACAACCGGAAACATTAAGGTTATAAGCTCTCCATCTGGTTTTAAGAGATCTCCCATACGAGTTGCCCAAGCTGGCCGCATATTTGGAACAATAGCACAAAAGAACCTGCGATTTCAGACAAGATTGTTAATATAAATTATGTAGGAGTTGAACAAAAGGTATTAATAAATCACTCACGTGTAATCAAACATGAGGTCAAACAACTCAGTAGGCTCCCAATTGAAAAAATCTGCTTGCAAAAAGGATACATAGTTTGCATTTGGAGTTGATGAAGCCAGCTGATTAGACAAGATGTCAGAGTCAGAGGACATAGGTAGAAGCAATTCAAAATACCCAAATTACAGGACGAGCCAAAGCTGAGCACCAGAAATAAAGAGTTTGGTGTTGGTATAAACAATTATCTTTGCATAGATTTTAGTGTCGTTTAATAACATTTTCTTTTGTTTTTTTTAGTCAAGATTAGAGAAAATTGAAATTAATTTAAAACTTAAGCCACAAGAAACAGGGAAGGTATATCACCTCTCTTGCTTTTTCTACAGCAACCTCTGATAAGTCCAATCCAATAACGTAGCGCTCAGGAGATGCAAGTGTTACCACATCATAACCCTATAATAGAGGAACATTCATATAATGCATTTGACAAAAGGAAGTCAGGAACTTATGAAATGAGATTTTAAGCAGCAGCCAGCAAATCAATCACTCGTGAAGTCTTCCATGAAGAGTGATATAGTGATTAGTGACCTAGATTACTCCCACATAGACCTGCACAAATGGACAGCCCCCCACTAAAAGCCCTAACCCAACCCTTAATTAAATAGGGCTGACCCTGTCCAATTCATAAATGGGACAGGCTTTTAAAGGGTCATCAAATTATGGAATTTTAAAGGGTTGGATCAAGTTTTAAATGGGCTGAAAAAGGGTTACAATTATGAGGCCTTTTTATCCTCTATTCTAACCCTTTCTCTCATTCTAATTTTCTGATTCTTTTTTCTGATATTTTCTCTTATCCACATAATAGAGCAAACCATAAGCAGGTTTCCTAGTGCACAGCTCACTTGTCAAGTAAGTGATAATGAGACCAAAAGGATCTTTGTAGGATGTGCTTAGTTATATTGCTAAAAGGGAAAGGCCAAATGCTTGTGATAGGAATCACAAGAGAATCCTAATTAACAAGACATAATAAGATGGAAGTGGTTTAAAAGACGTGAGCAAGGAATAGCTAGCCGGATGTCACATTAATATGAGAACAGAAGTCATAATTCCAAGTGCCAGATAATGGACAATGTACTGCTTGTATACGACAATTCAAACCAAAAATTGAGGGAAAATATCTAACTCAAGGAGACATGTAGTAATGAAAGTTGCAACGAGAAAATCATGAATGTGATCAAAGTTAAATACCATAATAGTATTAATAAAACTTACACTACCACATCCAGGGACAAGAGCTCTTCCCTTAGGAAGAGAATCTGTTTGAAGAAGGTGTTGAAGAACTGGTGTTGGTTTCCCCAAATCCCATGGTGTTACTCTTTCCTCCCAACATCTTTCCCACCCATCTGATAATAATTTAGATAAAACTCAATGATCTATAGTCTATCCAAATGGTAAAATGATCAATATAATGTGAAATGCAGAAGAGATACAATAAGAATCACAAAGCCACTTTCTTAAACCATGCTAAACAGAGAGGGAAAAACCATTGCAAAACTGGGGTGACTGGGGAGAAGAGGGGGGATGGTAATATCTATTGGCAGTTGGCACACAATCAATTAGAGCAAGAGACGGTGTCATACCATGACCCAAGGGGGCCGGCTAAGACATGCTGAACCCAACAAAAGGTCCCAAAACTTACAATTGTCCTATTTTGTAATCCCGATTATGATCACTATTGTCATACACTAAGACACCTTTTGTCCATTTTAATACTCCATTATACTAGAGGGAAAAATGGTTACATCATCTCATATCCTTAGGACTAAGAAATTATCATAATTATAATCTCACCTAAAACCCCTCATAAATAGTTCTGTCTTCTCCATCCACTCTTCATTCATAATCTACACCACAAGTGAAGCTGTTCGAGAAATCCAATCATAAACTAGTCTAACTTTTCTTTTCTTTAATGGGCTAACATTGTCATCACTAAGCTAAAACATGGTAATCAAGGTACTAGATCAGACAAAATTTCAATACGGCATCCGAAATAAGACACAATACCGCCGCAGAGGCCACCGTTAACCCAAGAGCAACATGCTATCAAACAATGAAAGCTTACACATCAATTCAATTCAATTGAGCATGTGTAATTCCAAGTAAGCTTCCATTTCAACATTAATCAAAATCAAATTGACCAGCTTAGCTCATATCTCATATGCTATAGACTTCATTCACAATTTCACACTATAACCTAACAATTTCTTAAATTAAATCAATAAATTCACCAATGAATACATTTTAATTCCAAGTTTGAATTCCAACTATTTAGGATAACCAATTAAATTCATTAGTTTTCAGAAAAATTAAAATAAATTTTCTCTTAATCCAAACAATAATGGCAGGTAATTAAACTAATAAATTGAACATAAAAATAAATAAATTTGTTGATGAATTTAGAAATGAGGTTACCAGTGGGATTGGAGTGAAGGAATTCTTGCAATTTGTCAACGGAGGGGCTGAACTGAACAGTTTCGCCGGAATTTTTACGCGCCGCCATGAGTGGTGGTGGTGTGCGGTGCATAAACCGAGGAAGAGAGCAAATTCTGGTCACCCACGACGGCGCAGGTTTAGCGATAAGAGGTAATGAGAAGGCCGACAGTTGTGTACACATTGAGTCAAATTTGAAAAATTAAATTATTTTATTATTTTTTATTTATGCAAAACGAGGAGCTTGGCCTTGGTCAACTCCCTCAACAGAAATAAATTAGAAACAAAACTACCGTATAGAGGAATAAAATGTGGCATAAACACACAACATCATTATGTAATAGTGTAATAAGCACACTTGGTTTATGATGGGTAAATGTTTTCAATAGTGGAAAATTTTATCTTTTATGGTGGAAAATATTTTTCCTTATAAAAAAAGAGAAGCCGTATTTTCCTTCTCTCCTCCTTACCTCATTTTTAAATTTCTCTCCTATATCCTCACATTTTCACTTCTATTTTTACTTTCTCTATAACTTTTCTTGATGGAACCAAACAAAGGAAAACTAATTTGCAATTGTGGTTTTCCTTAATAGTATGTTTTCCATGAAAATTAATTTTTTTATTGAAAGTGTTTTACATCAAACCAAACGAAACCTTAAGTATCTTTACATACGGTGGGATAGGCTTGAAGACACATGGGGCGTAACCGCATAATAAACAACCAAGCTCACTTGTAAAGATTCAAAACCATGGATAGATTAGGCCATGAGCTAAAAATTTTTAGATCATATACCAATGATATACGCACCATGAGCTAAAAAAGTTGGTAATAGTAATGATGGAGTTTAGAGCCTCTGATTTCCACATACATGGTCGTATAAAAGATGGAGGTGAGAGTGAGCCGTTGCTTAAAACTTCCTTCCCGATTTCAGGTGATCTTGAGATCGATTCTCAAAGAGAAAGGGTGTGATGAGTGTATGTAGGGATGTCAATAAGGCAAAGCGGGGTGGATGTTGACCTTCCCATCCCCACCTAATATTTTCATCCCTATCTCGCGGCGGGTCCAAAATTCATCTCCATCTCTGCCTCGGCGGGTATAATTTCAAAACCAGCCCCCTCCATTTGGATATCCACCTCCACCAAATCCCCACCCAAAACTCGTCTAATTCCCGCCTTCCAAATACACAATCCTACCTAATTAATATATATTAAAATAAAAAAAAATTATTGTTGATACTACACATTTTTCCGTTTATAATATATTAATATAAGTGTATTACAAAGTATTATGTTTACTATTTTATTTTACATAATTTTCTTATAAAATAGTATAAAAGTGTATAGTTTTGTTTTTAAAAATATATAGATGTGGGTATGGGGTGGGTACGAAGTGGGGCGGGAATGGGGCAGGTACAACCTTAAATCCACTCCCGCTCCATCACCCATGGCCGCCCCACCATCTGCCAAACTGAGACCCATCCCTGTCCCGCCCCACTGGAGCAGGTCTCCTACTTGCCCCCTCTTCCCCAAACTGACATCCCTATGTGAATGAGATCAATAATGTTTATGATTGAAATAGGGTAAAGTAACTATTTCTTTGGAAATAAAAAGGCAATACCATATACTTAATATGATGCTTAAAGATATACCCTCTCTATTTTTTTGAACGCCACACTTTAACCAGACATATTTGCAATATACAATTTTAACCATTTGTAATTTTTTTTTTTTGTTGTTAATAAATATAAATTATATAAATTGTTAATGTTACTAATCTAACATATATGTATCGCCCAATTTTAATGATCAGTAGTCGAGCACACAAAATATAAGTAGTATGTATTTCTTGCTATATCACAAACAAAAACCATGCATATACAATCATGTAGGATATTATATTACCCCTATGATATATATAGTTATTGCACACTAGTTCAAATTACATTATCAACACATCATGACAATCAATTCGGATTGATCTTACTTTGTGTAATATAAGAAAGAGCATACAACATTTTATTATCAATAACTTCAGAAAGACGTACAGCAACATTAAAATACTTTAAAATACAAACAAAGCATATATAGGCTACATGGCCAGGTCATTTAATATGCTGATTCAGCTTCTGATCTCATCAAGCAGCACAATAGGAAAAGGTTCTTAGTTTGATGTCCTCTTCCACCTACCAAGTTTTTCATAACCCTGAAACATATAATCATCATATAACAATATAGTCAATCTTCAAGTTTCCATAGTCAATACATTAAGGAATTTTTATATGACTTTTGTCATTGCAAGCCAGTCACTTAGGAGTAGAGGGGAGGGTAAGGGAATCCCTATCCCCAAGCACCCTCACTTGGTAATTCGAACCTCAAACCTCTTGGATTTAAGGTAAGAAGCTTATTACCAAGTGAGCCAACACTTCATTGGTTCTTTACATATGGTAGAGTGTACTAATACACACCCACCCGTGTGTATGATGAAAGGTGTCCCTCTATAGAAGGAATACAATAACTAAGGATGTATGATTTGCTATAGAAGTTGTAAAGGTACCTTGCGAAATTCAATTGCATGCTCGTTTTCTGTTATGGAAATAGCCTTAAACCCAAAAGGAGCAAGCACTTCTTCATAGCTGCATGCAACGTCATCATAAATTTTAATTTCTATACACAAAGACATTACAAAATATAATACTAGTAATAGGAACAATAAAAGATGAAATAATTATTTTTATAATCATTGTAAAAACTCCAAATAAGTATTAACAACAACAACAATAATAATAATAATAATAATAATAATAATAATAATAATAATAATAATAATATATTGTAATAGAAAAATTACTCTGAAACAGATACTTTATAAGGTGGTCCACAAACATGATCACTAATCTGCCAAAAAAAATTGAAATAAAAGTCAGTGTTTAATTACCAAAATTAAATGCTCTATAATTGACTATAAATCATAATGATATAATAATTAAAAAAATAAAAGAGAGAAGATTAATCATTTTTTTAGAGTGTAAAAAAAGTTAAAAATTGTACCGGAAACATGAGGATTAGAAGTTCTCCATCTGGTTTGAGTAGCTCAGCCATGCGACTAGCCCACGCTGGCCTCGTCTTTGGGTCAATGGCACAAAAGAATCTGCACATATATATAGATCCGATGGAGGCTACTAGTCATTGTTATTCTAGCTATTTTTTCGGAATGCCTAAAATTTTGATCAGATAATTTGTATGCAACTACTTACGTGTAGTAAAAAATGAGCTCGAAGGGCTCATTTGGTTGCCAAGTGAAGAAATCGTCGACGATGAAAGTCGTAGAGTTGGCATTTGCTGATGAAGCCGCAAGCTAATTGATGTTACAACAAGGAAGCAAATTAGACTTAACGTACATGTTATGTATTCAAACTAGCTACCCTTTCTAATAATTGAAATACATACATATATTGGATCAAATTCTAAAAAAGTTTGTTAAATAATTTACAGAATTGAAGATAGCCTTTTTAACTCGGCCAATTTTAATATAAAACAATATATTAAAATTTTGTTGAGTATAATTTGGGGAATAAATAAGGTACGAATAACCTAACATATGTAAAACAGAAAATAAGTATAGTCTATAAAGAAGTAAAAAACTTAAAAGAGCCAACAATATAATTAATTAATAAATTTAATTGCATAAATATTAAACGTAGTACCTTTTTTGCTTTGGTAATGGCAGCTTCAGATAAATCAAGTCCAACAACATTGCGCTGAGAGCTGGCCATTGCTATGACATCATAACCCTGTTGGTTTCATGCATGATCCATGACAACATGCACGTAGAAATATCGTTACTTTTTACTACAAATTTTAGAGATTAACTATAATTTAAACTCGGCTGTACATACTAAATTAGAATCGGTCTCAAAGTTAACTTCACGTACGTACTATATTAAGCTCAAAGTGTTCATCAACTTTAGTCGTATGTCACTTGATTCATTGTCATATACAATTTTGTTAATTGTACTACATTTATTTCGATGTCGGAATTAGTAAAGCTCAACGGTGATATTATAAAGAACTCACCCTGCCACACCCGGGTATTAGGATCCTGCCCTTAGGAAGGGCATCAGTCTGAACAAGGTGCTGGATTACAGGAGTTACATGCCCCAAATCCCATGGAGTGCGGTCTTCCTCCCAACATTTTTGCCACCCACCTGAATTAAGTATTAAGCCAAATAAATAGGAAAAATTCATGGGAATAATCCCACCTTTCACCCGTTCGTTTTTAATAATCCCACCTTTCAATTATTTTTCAATAATCCCACCTTTAGGTAACTTTTATTTTTGTTGGACCCATCTAACTTGAAACCGGCTAAGAAGGTAAGCAATTGTGACGTGTACTTGGGTAGTCTGATTTCCCCCCTAAAACATGCCATGTCATCTCTCTCTCCTTCCAACTACCCACGTTAATGTCTGTAGAATTCCTCCCTCCCTCATTACTCACTTGAACAGAGGCTCTGTAAAAAATCTCATCCGCCATAATTGAAGCTTCAACAACTTGAGTACGGTGCCATTAATTGTGAAGCTTCCATCGTTGGTAAAAATTGAATAGCGAAGAACCCCATTTTAGGTAAGTTTTTTCGAACCCTGATTTCCGCCTGAAAATTTGCTAAATTTCGAAGTAAATGTCGAACCTTAACCCGAAATTGATGATTTTTCTATATGATTGCAATGTATTTGATACTTATTGTTGCGAATTGTTGTTTATTTGTGTTATGTTGTGATTTTTTTGTCGGTTTATGTGATTTGATTTCGAAACCTAAATGCTAGGTTTTTGTTGTGCTATGTTGTTGGTTTTTGTTGAATGTTAATTGTGTTATAGTTGCTGTGAACTTAGGTATGGGTTGTAGTAAAATAACCTTGAAAATGTGGCATGGAGGGGTGTTTTAGTAGCGTGGTAATGGATTGTTGTGTTATATGAATGGGCAAAACAGAACCTTTAATGTAGACCCTGATGAACTATGCTCTTTTTATCTTGTGGAGTTGGTTATGAAGTGTGCTAGATATGATGGTAGAATTCAGGGGTTTTTATACTTAGTTCCTGGACTGAGTATGGAGGATGGGTTGAGGAGGGTCACAGATGATGACAGTATGAGGGAAATGATAAGGGTAGCAGAGAAGCATAGGGGGGTGGAGGTTTATGCTATGCACTGTGAAAATGACCCAATTCTCTTTCCCAAAGAACTACAACCTGCCTCCTCAAAACAGAAGACCCAACCCAAATCCGTGAGAGCCAAAAAACTTCCACTAAAGAGGGGACCACCTTCCCAAAAAGCCCTTGTTGAAACTTCCCATAAAGCCCTTGACAGCTCACTAAAGCCAACAGAAAATGCTCCCACTGAACTTATTACCATTCCACCAACCATTTCCCCATCTAACAAAAGTACATGTAGAATAAAATATGTTATAAACCCTAATAGAACACCTGAAATAGTTCACCAAGCTCCAGAAAATGACCCTGTAAACACTTTTGAGTGGGAAGATGCAAGGCCTGAAAGCCCTATCCCCATTAATGATTTGATACCAGAATATAGCAGTGATAGTGACACAGTTGACCCTAGTTATAACCCACTGGTTGACAAAGGCAAAGGAGTTAGTAGCAAGCCTTTCTTTGGAGAAGTGGGTACAGATGACAGTGGGGAAGACTCAGATGACAGTGGGGAAGATGGTGGTGATGTTTTAGTTGAAGATGATTATGCTTCTGAGGAGGTAGAGGATGATTATGAGAAGGAGAGTGAAGAGATCTTGAATGAGGAGCTTCAATATCAGTCTGACAGTGGGGATGAAGAGTACAACATAGCTAGGCAAAGGGTAAGGGATACAACTGCCCAGCTTGTTGATATTGCAAGAAAAATACAAATTGAAGCAGCTCAGGGAATTAAACTACAGGAGGAGGCTGTAAACAGGACAGATGTTGGGGAAGATTTAGGTGGTGAACCTTCTGGCCCCCAGAGTGATTATGAAGAGAGTGATGATGAAATACATACCCCACCTGATAGTGGTGAGGAAGATTTGATTCTTGGAAGGAGAAAAAGACTAGGTTTGTTGGTGTCTAAACAAACAGATTTTTCAAGTTTTGAGTGGAAAGTTGGGCAGAAATTTTCAAACAGAGATGATTTCAAGGATGCTGTAGCTAAGTATGCTGTGTTGCAGGGCAGAGATGTGAGTATTGTTGTGAGTAACAAACAAAGATCACAGAGGTTAGGTGTGAAATGCAGAGGAAGCTGTCCATTCTATGTGTATGCTTCCTGGGATAGTAGGAGGGCTACAATAGTTGTGAAGACAGTGAAAGGACTTCACAGTTGTCAGAGAAATATGAAGAGGAACAGGCAACTCAAATCAAGTTTTGTTGCAAAGCAATATTTAGATGTGTTCAAAACTAGGCCACATTGGCCAGCAAAAGACATTATTGAGTGTATAAGGAAGGCATACAGGATGTTGGTGACTAGATACTTTGCCTATAGAGTCAAGTACAATGCCCATAGACTGTTACATGGGTCAATGCATGACCACTACAACAAGCTAGGTGGGTATTTGAAGGCAATAGAGGAATGCAGTCCTGGAACAGAATTGGAGCTTGTCACTGACATTGAAAAGCAGGCTTTCCCACCAATGTTCCAGAGGTTGTTCATCTGTTTTGAAGCTTTGAGAAATGGGTGGATTCAAGGTTGTAGGAAGGTGTTGGAAGTAGATGCCTGTTTTCTCAAGACCTTTTTGGGGGGTCAACTGTTGGCTGCTGTTGGCAGGGACAGTAATGACTAGATGTTCCCAGTGTGCTGGGTTGTTGTTGAAGGTGAAAACAACTCCAGCTGGGAGTGGTTCTTCATGATAGGTTGTATTCCACCAATTCAAGGTGAAAGGCACTGTCCAGTAGTGTCCATGCCTATTGATCCTCCACCAATCAAAATTGGTCCAGGGAGGCCAAGAAAAAATCGAATTAAAGATCCAAATGAGAACCCCAACAAATCTGGTTCTTTGACAAGAACAGGGATTGAAATGACTTGTTCTGTCTGCCAACTGAAAGGGCATAACAAAAGGAAGTGCCTTAACAAGGACAATGTGCAGCCAGCTGATCCTGCTCCAAAGAGGGGAAGAGGGAGGCCTCGCAAGGATGCTGAACCTACAGCTGCATCTGTGCAATCCACTCAGGCTGATACAACCCACCACTCCCTAACTTCTCAACCTACCATACTTGGTAGAGGGGGAAGAACAATTTTTATGGGTAGGGGATCAAGGGGTAGAAGGGGTAGAGGAGGTGTTGCTGCCAATGCTGGGACAGGAAGAGGAAGGGGTTCACATGTTGCTGGCTCTAGCAGAGGTGCTTCAAGTGGGAACAGGGGAGTAGGAAGGGCCAGGGGTGGAATTAGGGGCAAAGGAAGGAACCAGGTCCCAGCAGGTGTAGGTGTCTTCATTGCATCAGATGGATCTGCAATCACTAATGTGAGTGCCTTTATGTTGGCACTATTAGTGTGTCTCATTTTGCTTGCAACTAATGTCTTACTAATGCTAATATGCTACTGTATCTGTTTGCAGACCCAAGGCAATGACAGGAGAAGAAGATCATCAAGAACAGCTATGGACTGGTTCCAGTGCAGTCAAGAGAGTCAACGTTCGACCTTGCATCAACCAACTCAGTAGTCATCTAAGTAGTGGCATGAACAATAACTCATTTTGGTGTAATTAAGTAATTAAGTGTTGGTACTTTATTTATGTAATCTTTTGACAACAGTTTTTATTGTTTTTGGGCATATTACAATGTAATGCAATGAACCATGGCAGTGTTCATTTTGTGTAATGCAGTGAACCATGGTAGTGTTCATTTTGTGTTTGTTGGCCAGACCATTTGCAAGCTATTTTGTTCAACATAACAACTTCACCAACTTAATTTGTTCAACATAACAACTTCACCAACATAATTCAAGTTGAAAGCAAATCAATGTAATAATAACTTCCATTAATTCACTGTTACAGTAACATGCCTTGCTACTATAAAGGTTTTTTCAAAGCCATATTACATGTCACAAATGCAAAATATAAAATCATGTCCAAACCTAAACAAGCTTAATGAGTCTAACCTACTATCATCTCCACTCAATATCACTGTCATGCCTTCAAATACACTAACAGAAAAGCAAAGAAAATCCATGACACAAACAGAGCAATGGAAAAGTTTTTTCATTCCTTGCCGCCTTCATTTGTTCAATTCTAGTGTGGCAAAGCTCCATTTTTGTATCATTCAACTCATCCTCTTTAATATCCAAATTCTTCTCAATTTTTTTTCAACTGCTCCTTTATGAAATCAATTTCAATCTCCTTTTCAGCAACTTGTGTATCTTTTTCAAAAACCTGGAATCGTAGATCTTCAAGGTCCATATTGTTAGCATTAACCCACTGAAAGAACCCACAATCACCCTCCTGTAAAAAAAAAATCCCAAAATCAAATTAATTTGAAAGCCCTAATTTGGTTTTTCCAATTGAATAATCTTACAAGTTCAATTCCAAAAACAAAAAATTTGTTACTTCCAACCACACTTACAGGCCAGTTAGGGCATCCGTAGAACTTCTTACCCACATTATCGCCATTCCTCACCCTCCGAATTACGGCTTCAACACCGCATTTGCACTTCAATTTTGGCAAACCCCAACCAAACGACCTTGACGAAGATGATTCACTTGAACCAACGTGCCTACGACTACCCATTGCAACCAAATTTCACTGAGAAGAGATGAATTTGATAGGGGAATTTGCGACCAACAATGGTGTTTTAAGGAAGAGAGGAAACAGAGAAAGAAGAAGAAGAGAAATCAACTAAGGGACGTGACACTTTTAAACAAACAAATAAAAAAATTAAAAAATAAGTAACCGTTAAATTCCACGTAGGCCTAAAACCGGCTAAAACAGGTGAGGTAACCTGTAAGGACCAATAAAAATAAAAGTTACCTAAAGGTGGGATTATTGAAAAATAATTGAAAGGTGGGATTATTAAAAACGAACGGGTGAAAGGTGGGATTATTCCCATGAATTTTTCCAAATAAATACGCTAATCAATATTGCAATTATTGGGATATAACTTGTACAATGCTTTATATTTCATAAAATCTGGATTGATAGATGGTTTAGATTGTTCATTCCACTCATGCATGACGAATATATATGTGATTCGTGTTTTCATCCTTGAAAAAATAATTGCTACTCCTAGTCTTAGCCATGTTCATTAAACATCATCGAATACTATAGTGTAATATAAGATCAAGCTATAGTACGAGTATTAATTAGCTAGCTTACTAGTAATAATAATATATACGATTTGAATAAAGGATGTATGTAACTAATGTAATCCACCACAATAAGGCAGCTCATCTTATATTCTAGCTTTAGATTGTGTTATTGTGTATATGCATTTTTTTCGACATACTCAAGATAAACACGCCTATACAGGAAGAAAAACATCAATGAACTAGGAAAAGATGACTTATAAACATATACTTGTACTTCATATAAATTTTGATTTGTGACATACGTGAAATATATGGAGTGATCGAAGGGGTAACACATACCGGTGGTTTGAGAATGAAGGAATTGTCTCATTGACTCCCAGTGTTGATTCATATGATCAACAACATTCACATCTCCATTATTCTTGTTAGCACTCTCCATCTTATGATTTTTTTATTTTATTTTTTATATTTGTTATTTTTTGTGATTGTATTTGTGAAAGACTTAGACATAAATGAGTGCTATTTATAGCTAAGTTATCGTTCTAATGGAGGTTAATATTTTATTACATACACCTGCCTTAGTGTATAGTTTATTATACAGTATATAATATTGTGTTACTTTTTTTTTTTTTTTTTTTGAAACAATAATATTGTGTTACTCTTGAGTCTTAAGTTTAATTTTCGAAGACCAATCAACAAGTCTTGTTGTTCGAATTTAGCATTGCATAAATTTTGACATTGAGGTGGTGGAGTAGCTTAGGCATTGCTTCCCACCTCAGATTCCTAAGATCTTGGAAGATCGAATTAAACCTCAAGGAAATTATTTTTTCTTATCTTCTCCTTCACACGTAAATTTTTTGTTCTTCCGATAGAGACCTAAATCTTCATCTCCTTAAATTTCTTGATTTTCATCACTCAAAATTTTATTTTAGAGTATATAATTCCGCTATTTAGTCATATCTAGCACAATGATCATGCACTGTTAATTATGATCATTTTACTATATTGCAATTATGCATTAAGAGAAATTGAATCTACTCCATGATAGTTTCCATCATAACATTTATAAATTATATTATTAGAAATACATAGTCAAAATTAGTATATAAATAACAAACGTACAAAGATCAATAAATTGTCACAAAGAAAAATAATTTAAATATTTTTTCCCTTTCTATGTATGGTACAATCTTCTTAATAATTAATCACATAAACGGCGTTTAAAACTTGGTTCTACACTTGATTTTTAATTATTGAACTTATACAAACTTAGCACAGCTTATCATACTTTATTGTATGTAGTAATAATATAAGTAGTGATATAATAAGGTAGTCATTTTTTTAATGCCTCGAAATAATCGTATTTGAGCTTTTGTTTTCCTGAAAACTTAGCTAGTTATTAATTTCAACATTCTTCAAGGAGAAGTAGTAATGTCACTAATGTATATATGTGAGAACTGGTAATAGGCCATAAGAATTGATTGTAGCTAGATTTGTAGCTTCCTGAACTTGGATTAAACTAAAGTTATTAAAATAATAGGTCAATAATGCTAGATCATTTTATATTCTTTGTATAATAGCTAGTCATTAAAAGATTAAAACTAAAGTTATTAAATCATGCACCTACGTCACATGTGAAAGTTAGGTTCGTCCCAAACACTCACATCTTCATTGACATTGTGTGCACTTCACCTTGCAAGGTATATAGAAGTACAACCAATTGCTTTCTTTGAATTTGTATGATTGAACAAATTAGATTTTATTTGTTCATTTGCACGAATGAGAAAACAGGGAAGCTTTGTTCTTATCTCGCATTACTTAAAAAACTTCTTTTATTTTGTGCAAGCATGATAATCGGTTTTACATTGAATTGAATAATAAAAAAAGACCAAAAACTATCCATATTTTAACAAATAAAAATACAATTAACCACCCTTCTTATCTCCTTGATTACCAATTAAAAGTCATCATCATTAACCACTAGTAACCCCTAATTAACCTTTAATCTCTAGACACGTATAACCTCAATTATTTTTGGTGCAAATTTAGTTGAAATAATAAGACAACCAATAAACTACTATAAAATATAATAGCTCATTAATTGACCATATAGAAGTCTTTGTTTATTTAGCCCGTGCACTGGCATATGCTATGATTTCTATAAATAAGTCTACAAAATCCAAAAGTAGGAAAAGGGAAAACCGTCCTTACTATTTAAAAAAAAAAACACACATATTCCCTTTTTTGGCAACATTATTATTAATATTTTATAATCTAAACAATCTAATTAATCTACTATCCTATTGCTTTCTAGCTGACAAATCAGGTATGTTTTCATTAATAGGCAATTAATTAATTTACTTCCGGGACTGTCTTTTCAGAGACCAAAGAGCTCTACACTAGAAGACCAATGTTAATTGCACATTTGTACAAGCTTTATTAAAAAAAAAAAAAAATCAAAGTGAAGCTTATATCATGAATGACATCAATGGAATCAGAATAATATGCCCTTATATAATTGGGGAAAAGAAAGGAATAAGCACTTAATAAGGGGTATCTATGGTCTTAAGTTTTAGGCCATCGGGAAGATCAAATTTGGGATCAAATCTTGTCTTCATCATTGTCCTTTACGACTCTTTACGCCAAGAATTAAAATTAGAAATCGAAAGATAATTAGTAGACATAATCCTCACTTTGGAAATGTGAATACTTTTCTAGTTTGAGTCATCTTTGCCTTCTTATATTATAAAGTGTATCATACTTAGAAAATTCAGAAGTTTGAAACAAGTTACTACCATCAGCAATCGTTATTCATTACACTGCAAACATATAGAAGTAGCAATTAAATAAACTAGTTCATTCAAAAACTCTAAGCAACCTGGGTAACTTTTACAAGTTAAATCAACCCTTACTTCAGGGTGCTTTGCAGGAAAGCAGAAGCATGCTACAAAGACAGGTTACTTCAGGTTTCACTTGAGAATGCTTATTCACATGATTAAGTGTTCATGAATGAAATCATCAAGCAAATATAAACCATGATAGTAGACTTGATGCCGAACTGCAATCAAAAGTTCTAGTAGAAATAAAGAAAATCTAAGACTAGGACAAACTAACTAACATCCGAAATCATGGCTTAAGAACACTAATCTCCTATAGAAACTTGTACCTTAATTAGTGAAGATACTCCGGGGTTAAGTACCCCATTGTCTTAGCTAGAATAGTCGGTTTCCTCAATCTAGAATCTCGGTCATAGACCTCAACCAATCCAAAATCACCAAGTTTAGGGTTAAAATCCGAATCAAGCATCACATTACAAGTCTTTAACATCCCTATGAATGACCTGCCTGTTGCATTATATTCTTCATGCAAGTATGTAAGACCAGAAGCTATACCAATTCAGCCTTTGTTTACAGGTAAGCACACGAAAAGCATCCGAATCTGTATGCAGATTCTGATCAAGGTTACCATTAGGCAGAAATTCATACACAAGGATAAGTTCATTTTTTTGGGACTGAATTGAACAAGAAATTACACATCAACAAGTATTATCAGTAAATAAGGAATCAACCAAAACAAATCACTAATATAGCAGAAATAAAACAGATCAGATAAAAGTTCCAAAACCATTCCCATTGAAAATAATCAAGTCCTCATCACATGTTTCTTTCTTCTAAAGTCAAGGTTCCAAAAGGTTATAATAAAAGCTCATTATTAAGTAGTAATTCAGGAGTTATATTAACAATTGGTTTAAATATGGTGAGTACACTTCGCTTAATACGAATCATTTCTCTCATTGTATCTTCACGCCCAAATTGTTCTTCAAACTCGAGCCATTGAGTCCAAAAATCAGGATCTGTTTCAGGATTAAAATACGCGCAGGCATACAAATAAATTGCCCGAGCACGACAAGTTCTCGTAAGCTCGTCTCAAGTGTAGCATATTTCAAACACAATGTCTTAATTATTCAATCATCGGATTTACTGGCTTTATGTATTGCATCTTCGTACAAACTCCTCGTCTTTGCAACTCCGAATATTTCAACCACTTTTAAAGGATCATCGTTTATAACCTTCAAACAAAAATCAAAAAATTACTTTCAAGTGTTAGCAATAGCATCATAAAATAAAAAATTGATCACGGAAAAGTATACGTACTGCAAATCATTAAATCAGAAAACAATTTAAACGAAATTCAACGCTAATAAAATCATAAATTAGATACAAAAAATATTATAATAACAAATTTTATTACATTCACTAATTTTTAAAAAATTAGAGGCTAAGTTGTAAATTTGAGACGAGACGAGTAATTCAATCAAAACAAACTCATATTAAAAAAAAAAAAAAAAAAAAAAATAATTAAAACAAATTTAACATCGATAATATTTAGAGGGCTTACATCAATAGCTTGCTTTCTTGAATCATCCATATTGATTGATTGTTTTCGCCAAATTGAATGTTCAATCAAAATTTTGCGAATGATCAAAATATACAGTTGCCTATGTATATATAATTTGAGAGAAAACACAACCCTATTCCCAAACCGACATAAACGACCTTAATTTTACTGAGTATTTTTTAGGGGAACAAAATATCTTAAATTAGGGTTTATTATTTCTTTTTCTGGGGCATTTAAGGAGTAATACTTTTTTTTCCCTTTGGTTCATGTAGGCGGATGTACATCCGTTTAAAAAAAAAAAAAAAAAAAAAAAAAAAAAGCGGAAATAACATTGTATAGAAATGTAAAGAATATTTAGTTAAAGTGAAAAGAACATGATATAAAATTGTAAAGAACATATATCTAAAGTGAAAAAAACATGTTGTTAAGATGTAATGAACGTGATAAAAGAACATAAGAGATATAAAAAAAGAACATAAAGCTATTAATAGCAATGAACATGATACTACTTTATAAAAAACACATTGTTAAATAATATTCTTTATCTCCGTGTTATTTGATTGTCAGTGTAATGTATTTTTATTTGTGACATAATATTCATGGTTTACTGTGAAATGTTCAATAAATTTTGTCTTTAGATTATGGTGGGTGAATATAAATAATGTTCATCACATAATAAAGAGGTTACAGTGTGGTTCAAGAATGTGATCGCTTACCAAAAGCTTAAGCTGATGGTTGAGACCCTGGAATATGCTTTATACTCTTATCAAAATTAAAACTTGTAATTTCCAAAATGCAGTGATAGTGATTATACTAGTGCTTATGGTGTTACTCCTCACAATAGCTTCTTACACACTCCGCCAAACTTCATCATCATCACTATCAACTCGACGTTCAGATGGCAATGTAAAGAGCCTGGTAGACTTATAAAGAGAAGGGTTGAAGGTAGGCTATCGACAAGGAGCCTTTGTGAAATCAATGTTGGTTAATAAAGGGGGGCTTTCGGAATCAAATTTGATGGAAATAGAATCCGATGTAGTAATGCTTCACAAGCTACAACAAGGAGGTGAAGATGGAGGTATCGATGCTGTTGTTGCTGGTACACACAATCTCAAACTTTTCCAAAAGAAACATTGCGATGATTTTACCCTTGTCCAAGATTTTCGTTTCAGATCTTCTGGACTTGGCTTTGTATGTCTCTTTCTCCTCATTTTATTCCTCTCTATATAATGGGCATT